GTAACGTTGCTCCACTCATGATTCTCTTCAATTCTCTCTATTCTTGTTTTTTCCGGTTGTGAAAAGTGTGACAATTTTGATTATCTGAATAAATTATTATTACTAGTAATTCGCTATTAATTATAATAGTAGAAACCCAAAGATGAAGTATTGACAATCTTTTTGATTATTATTTGAATCCATTCTTCATCTTTGGTTGACATTGAATTTGGTTAGTTTCCAAAAACCTCTTTGTGGAAAATTAAAAAGGCAACCCAGTGTTATGATGACAAGTAAAGATGTCTTCATCAATCCTAGTGTCGAAACTAATAACAATTGTTGAAGAATTATTATTAATAATAATGCAATGTTATTATTCGGTTGAGAGAGGAATGTAGTGAATGAAAATTGTTGCAATGATACTTTAATTTTGATTTTCCTAAGAATATATAATATTGTTGTTGTAATTGTTAATGATGAGGAGTTTAATAGAACAAAGAATTATATCTTTAATATTAATAATCCAATCTATTCCAAATTATTCTATTATTCTAATGATGATTACATTATTTTGGTGAGTGATACAGGCTGATGAAAGCTTCTTTGTTTTGCTCTTTTTCTGGCTTGCAGATATTATGAGAGCATTTTTGCCATAGCAAACTTTGGTTGTAAAACGATGTAGTCAACGAATAATTAAAAAACTTGTTGAAAAAAAAATACGCAAAAGTCAAAATGGTACGTACTGCAGTCACTCTCTTAAAAAATATTTACCTTCTCTTTTCTAATTAATACTTGCTTGGTATGAATTATTTACTTACTCTTGAACATATTATAGGCCACAACTAAGAAGAAGTGTAGAAAGATGAGAGGTCACGTCTCTCACGGTCACGGTCGTATCGGTAAGCACAGAAAGCACCCTGGTGGTCGTGGTATGGCTGGTGGTCAACACCATCACAGAATCTGGGTTGACAGATTCCATCCTGGTTATTTCGGTAAGATCGGTATCAGAAGATTCCACATGAATAAGAATCACTTCTTGACAAATTGTCTCAATGTTGACGAATTGTGGAAGGTTGCCGGACAAGAAGTCTACCAACAAGCCAAGGAAGGTAAATTCGGTGGTAAGGCTGTCGTTATTGATGCTCACAAGGCTGGTTTCGACAAGATCATGGGTAGAGGTGACTTGCCAAAGATCCCAATCGTCGTCAGAGCTAGACTCTTCTCCAAGTCTGCTGAAGAAAAGATCAAGGCTATTGGTGGTGTCTGCGAACTCACTGCTTAAACTTCTTTCCAAACTATAAAAAAAATTATTTAAAATCATTATTCTTGTTGATTTTTGTTCATCTCCAAGAAATTCTAGCAAGTGTTTTACCAGTCAATTTGGATATTGGAAGATTGAAAAAGGTTGAATTTATTTTGACATAGCACTCCAATGTTTGTGAGTTTGGTTGATAATGTGTTTAGCATAGGCCTTATCTAACACTGTGGTATTGAATCCAAAATGATTTTCAGGTTTTCCATCGGTAGTCTTGTACATTCTAAACCAATCAATGATATCATTAATCTTTCCCTTTGGAATATCATAAATGTCCTGTAAATCTTCATCTGGTTGTAGTGTTGAGGTTTCAGATTCTGAAACAACTCTACCAATAACTTTCCAATCCATTTCACCTTCATCAATCATTGCAAGAATTCCAAAAACTTTGATTTTATAAACTTCTCCCATTTCCAAAGCAACATCACTAATTTCCACAACATCAATTGGATCATTATCACCTTGAACAGCAACAGTTGGTTGATAAACACCATCCTTAACTTGTCCAAAAGGAACATGAATTAATTTCTTTGGATCTTCCCAAGTTTGAGGAAGCATTCCGTAATTGAAAGGAATTCCACCAGCATCAAGTCTATAAGTAAATTCTCTGAGTTTTCCCTTCTTTTCATCTTGAATTATTGGATTAAATTGCTCCTTTGTATTGACTTCCATCTTTTTCAGAGTGTGCATTGGAATTTCATTAACAAAATAGTAATGATTAGCACTTGCTTGAAGTGGAATATCATGCCACGGAGAAATGAATGTATTCTTATTGATGGATCGATACATGATTTTAAAGCCATGATTTCCGAGGGTTCCCTCCAAAACTTTAGCAATTGAAAGTTTGCCCATTTGCGAGCAAATTTGTGAAGCCATTTTTTTTTCAATCAATTTGGGAAATTTTACAGAATTTGAAAATTGAAATGTTATGAAATTAAATGTTTAATCGCTAATTACAGCACGTTTACTTCAAATTTGACGCGTTTTTTGAAAGAAAATAAATTATTTAGAAAAAATTTTGTTGTTCTTCTGCTGTCAAATCCAAAATAAGCATTTCAATAGAACAACACCTAACAACTCGTTCTTACTCATTTCTACATATTTTTGAGAATGCTGCCACCCCAAGGGGTATGTCAATGCGAGGATTCATAATTTGAAGTCAGATTTCAAAACTACCTTAATTCCATCGAGAAATTAGCATTTTGTTGAATAAAATATTATCGTTACAGATTCTTTTCAAATGGAGTTGAGTTTACTTGCCAAATCAAAATTGAAAGATGAAATACTTTAAATTTTAAAAAAAACAATTTTAATTTCCCCAAATCTTGTCAAACTTGAAGTAAACGTGCTGTATTGAAATTTACAATTTTTTCATATGAAAAAAACAAATAAATTAAAAAAATTGTTGTTTTTATGAACCTTAAAAATGGAAATTCTTAAAGTTGGAAAAAGCGAAGGGTGTTTCTTTTTAATACTGATGATTGCTGATGCCTAATTGTTTATGATATATCTCTCAACAATTGCCTTTGATTATTAGTTCTATCTCTTATCATTTCAAATCTCAAAAAGAAATGCCACCTTTCAAACAA